GTGATAAAAAAAATAGTAATACAGAGAAAAAAATTTAATTAAACAAACAATAACGAAAAAGTAAACATTGCTGCGTTTTGCACGTGTATCGAATACTTTGAAAAAAAGAGACAAAATTCTGTTTGCTAATATACATGTTATTTATTGCTGTTAACATCACTATTTTTTTTTGTTTTTATTTTTTATTTTTTTTTTTGTAATTTACACAGCAATGCCTCAAAAAATTGTTCTGGCTCATTCGACGACCACCGTTATTTTTTTTTTTTTTTTTACATTCAAAACAAAGATGAATCTTTTTGTTTTTTAAATACATAATAAGTAGTTCCTTTTTTTTTGCAACTACCCTTACAAAGATCCGTTTCCCTTCAACAAATACAAAAATTGAAACATTTTACAAGAGCTCTTTAATACGACTGGCGTCGCTGTTCAAAAACAGAACGAATCGATATTTATTATTTTTTTCTGTTGCTTTTCACTGAAACACGATTGACTCGAGTAAGCATTTGTGGATGAGATCTGCAATGAAATTTTCTGTCCGAAATAACGTAAAAAAAAAAAAAAAAAAAAAAAGAAAAAAAATCACATAACAATTACATACAGTTTAACAAAATCGAAGAAGACATGATGCAGCAAAAAACGTAAACAATTAATAGGATATAAATATGAATCAAGATTAAAACAATAGTTAAAAGTTAAAGGTATATTGAAGTTTATGCTTGATATCACTAAATTATTCAACGTATGCCGAAGCAATGGTTTCGCGCATGATTGTTGTATACATTATTTACAAGTGAGTCATATTAATTGATTATGCAACATAATTATCCCTGGAAAAAAGACTCGTACGCATGCATACGATCAATTTTCAAGGCCAAGTAGGTATGTACGAATGGTCATACTTTTACGTTTAGATTTTTATGTTAAAAGTAAAAAAAAAAAAAAAAAAAAAAACCATCAGACGATAGTTAATTGAACAATGAAAAATACATATGGTTAAAAGCCTCCTGAACTCATTAGGGTGTTCCAGACAGTGGGCAGAAAAAAAGTAACGCTACCAAAAAGCACCCGGTTCACACTTAAAGGATGATGTATATATAACAGAGCACCAAAGAAACCAGAGTATGAAAGTACCAATTTGTTTTTTTTAGAAGAACAAAAAAACAAACAATTATTTTTAATTTATACAGAAATTGATTCAAGTTATAAGTGCGTTATCTGGTTACCATTATTTGCAGTGCCTTCACGTGACGATGAACAAACGTAATGTTTAACAAAACAGACGTTATATGTGTGGCAAATAAATATTAATAACAAAAATTAATAAAACAGGATGAAAAAAAAAAAAAACCATCAAACTATTATACACAAATAAGCAAGCGTTTCGTTACTCTAAAATATTTTTTCCATATGTATAATTAATCACTAATTTTCGGACATGCTGCAGACTCCACAAGACATTTGCAATCGTTCATTTTTTTCTACTTCGTCGTCATTATTGTTATAATCATGGCAATTTTTTCTCCTTAACTGTCGCATGTTGCAAGTTTATACGTCCGTCTTTCACATTATTTTTTTTTACATCTCGTTATTATTGAAAATATCTGCGTTTATGTACGTTATATACCGTTGCAACTCTTATTTTTCATAAGTAAAATACATATTTTTTAAAGTTTTTTTTATAGCACAGAAGAAGAAAAAAATATAATCTCCATGTATTTATTCATACGTGTATAGACAAAAGAGTGGAAAAAATTTATTATTATCGTTCGTATACCGTGCCAGCACGCAACACACAAAAAGAGAGATGGAAAAAAGATTTACTGCATCAAAAAATTGTATAACTTTTGCTTTTTCTTACAATTTATAGTTATACATTATAATATAATGTGTTGCAGGTTGTCCCTCTTTTCTTCTCTTTCGTCACAGAAGATTGATTATGTACCCGGGCTCCACTGCACGGGGAGCTTGGCTGGGACGCGTGGTTGTTCCGTTGGTGGTGGCAGCGGTGGTGGGAGCGGTGGCTGCTGTCGGACCGTTAACGGAGGTGGCTGGGGTGGCTTGTGCTTCGGTGGACTGCTCGTTGTGGTTGCACCTGCACAGATCGGTAAGCGGAACGGGTTTCGAGAATCGTTCGGTAGTGTAAAGCTTTTTTTTTTTTTTTTTTTTTTTTTTTTTTTTTTTTTTTTTTTTTTT